AAAGAGAAACAAATTCTATACGAAATTTAAGTGTTCTTGTTTAATTCTTGAAACTCTCACTAGCTTGCACTCTTATAAGATCTGTATAATTATCCAACATTATCAAATAATATTGCGTTGTTCTCAAAACGGTTATTTCCGAATAACAAGCGCATAAAAATAAGCTTTAACGTCATATAAACTACATAAAATAGGACAAGGTTAAGATTTTATGTATTTAGCAAAAACAAAAAACAAATCTATAACCGACAGGAACCAACGAATGTTTTAGAGCACAGCTAGCCCTTTGTGTAACTTTGGGCTTAATAAGAAACAACAGTAACAACTACAGAAAAGTCAGCCTTCCGTTAGCAACAACATTAAATTTAGACAAACCTACAATATAAAACAAACTGAAACGAAACAATATTTAGTCTATGCAAAATAAGATACACACGCCAAAGAAGGATAAATATTTAACTACTAGTTGGAGTACCCGTCCCCTGGACGGAAGTTATTTACATTCATGATTAATAAAAGGTTATTTTAGGACATGAAAAGTTGCTTCCCTTGTATGTAGTTGTAAAAAAAAAAACGCCCATAAAAACTGCAAAACACAAAATGTGAAATCGCAACTTTGTATGTATCTCTGCATGGACCCAACAAACCTTCATGACGAATTTGGTGAAGATCCATACACAAGAGGTGAGGTAGTGGTAAAGAACGCAAAAAACGTCCATAAAAACCGCAAAACGCAAAATGAAAAACTGAAAAGTTGTATATATCTCCGCATGGACCAAATGAACCTACATACCAATTTTGGTGAAGATCCATCCACACCCTGGGAAGTAGTTACATGGACATACAACAGACAGTATTACTATATTTGTAGATTAAGATTACATGAAGAATGAATAATACTCACAGGGTAAAATATCAGTCATCATTTAGAAACAAGGCTAAATCTACACATACGAACACTCGCATTGATAGAACAGCCTAGGGAGAAGATTGACCCTGTGTCAGAGCTCTAGATTATGGAGCTTGTGAATCGGGATCGAATACGTGCGATACCACAAAATATTCCTCACAATTTAAGCTCTGGATGTGTTATGAGAGTGACAGTCAATCTCTTAGCACGAGTGATATGTGACGGGGTGGTTCTGACGGACTGCCTTCCCTCTGGTCAGTAGTTCAGAATTAGGGACGGCATCAGTTAGTCTTAGTAGCCTTGCCAAAAATACAAATAAAACAGCTTAGAAAGGTTAAAACGTAGACAAGCTAAGAACCATTCATCAAATAAGAGTCAAACTCTAGTAACAAGGTTAAAATCCCGAATGTTTGCGGAAATGACGCATGCACGGAGGGAGAAAAATATTTATTTCGACAAATAAAAGATTTAACGTCATGATGTTATAAGATTTTTAACTTGTTCTACAACTGGCTTTGCCTCTCATGGTAAGATAATTGTCTCAAGGTTTTAAAAAAAAAAGAAGAAGATAAATTAATATTTTCCCCGATTTTTAACTTTCTTTTATAAATTAGATAATCTGTTTATACTTCTTAGATATTGATCCAATTTGACAATAGATTTGTTTGTTTGTGTTTTTCACTAAAGTTACTTTTTCTTTCTTATTGTCTTCGACTACACGTAAATCTTGCTTTTCCGGTATTGTAAATAAACAAATGAAGTCTTCTTTAAACACAAAACAAATACACTTATCAGATCTTAACAAAATCAGAAGTAGGCCATTCTAATTCAAGTTTCTGTTAATATGAATGAGACTACATGATCTTGATAGACACATTGTTTTCAAAATAAATTTTTGAGGATACGAAAAACAGACTCGGTCTTGAACATCTATTGTAAAATGGTTTATTAACCCAAATTGGGTTGAAGTTAATATTCGAGTCTCTCCAGACCGGTTTGTATCGCTCTCTGCAATGCAGGCTTTACCTGTGTATTCGTTCAGCAACAGCATGATCATTTGTCTTATTGTTCGTCACCGTGTCGAATTGTTGGATTATTGATAATTTGTTGTCACTTATCGTCGTATCTAGTTGTTGGATTATTAATTTAGCATGATCATTAATTTCGTCATTCATCCTAATGTCTAATTGTTGGATTATTAATTTAGTATGATCATTTATTTCGTCATTCATCCTAATGTCTAATTGTTGGATTATTAATTTAGCATGATCATTAATTTCGTCATTCATCCTAATGTCTAATTGTTGGATTATTAATTTAGCATGATCATTAATTTCGTCATTCATCCTAATGTCTAATTGTTGGATTATTAATTTAGCATGATCATTTATTTCGTCATTCATCCTAATGTCTAATTGTTGGATTATTAATTTAGCATGATCATTAATTTCATCCTAATGTCTGATAGTTGGATTATTAATTTAGCATGATCATTAATTTCGTCATTCATCCTAATGTCTAATTGTTGGATTATTAATTTAGTATGATCATTTATTTCGTCATTCATCGTAATGTATAATTGTTGGATTATTGATTTAGCATGATAATTTATTTCGTCATTCACCCTAATGTCTAATTGTTGGATTATTAATTTAGCATGATCATTTATTTCGCCATTCATCCTAATGTCTAATTGTTGGATTATTGATTTAGCATGCCATTCTTTTTTTAAAAGTCAATTAATAATTTGTTGACGTCCTGTTTTATAAGCAACAGACCTTAGTATAATGCAGAAGTTAAATGTTTAATTGTTTAGTGTTTCATTATTGATTATAATTTTCCAGCTTGTACTTCGGACTGTTTATTCATGACAATAACTCTTTGTCTATTTGTTTGTTTATTAATGCGTCCCATCCTCTCACTGATTTAGTAATCTGTCTACTCATAAACCTGAATATTTCTCTTATTCTTCCATCTGCCTAATGGCCCAAGAAGGAGTTGAAAAGATACAGCAAGTATTCTTGAAGTTTTCATTTTATCTCTTGTAAATATAGAGGCTTGAGTACATTGTAATAAAACAATTCTGGAGCCTTACAGGTCGTTACAGTCCACATTGCCACGTCTGATCATGTGCATCTTGACAATAGCTCTGCAATGTAGTTTCCGTAGAAAAAAATCTTCGTCATAATGCTTTAATGTTGAAAGCACACCATTCCTTTCTGAAAGCTTTTCATAATCCATCTAATATACGAGGGCGACGGTTTAGGAGTGCCCATTTCAACAGTTCGATCGCACAGAAATTTACAAACGTATGCCTTTGTCTCGAACAGCATGGATACCCGTTTCATTTTTCAGCTGCTTGATGTATGTGACAGTTTAACAGGTGATATGACAGGAAGCCTCATTTTGCCCTCATTTCCAATCCAGGAACGCTAGCTACTAGACAAGCTCGATTCGTAATTTGTCCCACGTTTTAAGTTATTTTGGTAACAATAGTTTTACGACGAAACTGGCGCCTTTAGCAAGGTAAAGGAAGTTTCGATACAAAATACATGTACTATTTAAAATCCTTGTGAAAACTCGTCTCTGAAGTTTCTTTTACTAAATTTCCTACAGGCCTCACACAGTTAGTTCATCATAAAGTATTATAAAACACACCCACACGCTTTACACAAAACTTTATGAATACTACACAATGAGGCAAACAACGCAAACTACTTGAGTAAATTGGGAATACATAGCTCTACTGGGTGGGGCCGAATTTTTATGTTTTAGTGTATTGCCCTTTGATTAAGATAAAGTTTACTAGACACTGGTACGAATACCAGTTTGAAACTAGTTCAGCATACACGAAATCCATGTAGCACACCTTGGAATTGTCACCGTTGACTTTAACAGATATCAGTCTGAAAATTACAACATGCACAGTAATATTAACTTTAGTTAAAAGGAGGTGCTTATAATTTCTAGAGGTCTCTGATAGTTCTTTAACATTCCTTACACAATAATCTTGTTCAATATATCATTGCCTTTCTTTTTTTTTGAGATTAGTCCTATATCGAAAATCTATGCTCATTTTTTTTATTTTGTACATTTTATTTTGGTACTTGGTATTTTTACGACACAGGGGAGAGGTTGCCAGGTCTGAGACTACAAGGTTAATAAATAGTCATAGCCATCCGTAGTTTAAAAATGCTGACCAGAGGAAGGCAACCAGTCGGCAGAACTAGCCTCATACTCTTCACCAAATAACAATTACAACAGTTACTTTTATAACGCACTTATAAATGGACGTGTACGGCGAGTTCAGCGACATATCATGATCTCGAATCGAGCCTTGGACGCTAATCCCTAGGGAAATCCCGGTTACATTTTTTTATTTTGTAAATAACTATTTATAAATTATGAGTCATACTTGCATGATTTTTTTAGTAATCTATGTACAGTATATATGACTATTTCCATATATAAATATAAAAAAAAACATTTATATATACTTACTGCAATATATAAGTTTTAATTTAAAACATTCAAAATGTTTTGGGAAATTAATGTTTTAAACGGGAAGGTTATAAGTTAACCTTTAGAATGACTTGCATGGATTTTTCACAAACAAGTAGAACAATCACACTGTATTAGCTCACTTCTCACATTTTCCTGAATCTGTAACACAAGCTGACACAACTGACCTTCCTTGCCCGTTACAGCTGGCGCCACCTGACATATTTCGTATATGGTACTTTAGGGTAATTTCCATTGTATGCACATTAAATTAACATTAGGATTTTTTCCCCTGTATTAAGAGAAAATGGGGCCAAGTGAGAGAAAAAGAGTTCTGAAGCTCATATAGACTGGCTTGGGACGTTATCTGTCATATGAGGATTGGCCAATATGTTACTGAGCCCTCCTCTCCAGGCCTGGCACCGTCAGGTAAGGAGAAATAGATCCAATCACTGTGCAAATATTCCACAAAGATCCAGGGAAAAAAAGATAAAAGAAAAAGGTACCACAAGGTGCAAAGTGGTTGATGTGCCATATTAAGTCTGCTAGTATTCTGTGAACGTTATTGATTAACTTACAAGAGGAACAGATTCGTTGCTCCGATTTGAAACGCAATGAGGCAAGACTTTACTTTCTAACACACAAAGCTACGTTTACGCGTGTTACTGAGACATTAAGCGTGCAGTAAATAAACTCTGGTCTGTTAAGTGAAGAAAGGCAACGAGTTCACTTGTGTGGTCGTGAGGCGTGATCGGCAAGATTCGCTAAGGAGTGATATCGATTTGAAGTTGTTGTTTTTTAAGAAGATTGAGCAACAGGAAAACAAAGAATGAAGATTTTATTGTGGTAGGTGGTAACGAGTTTCCATTAGAGCTTAACTGTTAATTATTATAATTTTCCTTTTAAATAATACTCGTACTTGTATTATTCCATTTCGTGATTTATTCCTAGACGTTCAAAAAAAACAAAAACAATATTTATCCAATGTACAGAACATAACGTTCATAACTTTTAATTTCAGAAGATTTAAATCTCTAATGTAGTAGCGAAGCCTACAGAGAATTTTGTGTTAGTTTTCAACCAAACCAAAAGAATAATCATAAGAACGCAGGTTTGTATATTGTATTATAGTTTATAATATAGCAGTAAGTTAAGGAATTGCATTACACTATATTCGAGATATTTAATTTTGATTTATGTGTACAAGTCAGTTGCTACTAGAATTATATCGAACGTTTTTTTCTTTTAATTTTTGAATAATATTTTGATAATTCAATGATCCAAAGTTATTCTATATATATTTAACGTACACGTCGAGTCGATAGGGTAGATGGATGCTGCTTTATTGGAAAGCTGAACACTAAGGCAAGAACATAAATAGTTATAACTCTGTCCTATATCGCGAGGCTCTTGCCCAAATATTTATATAAAGTTCGTCTTAAAATAAAGTTCATATATAATTTGTCTAATAATTGTTTTAGAAATGTTATGTTACATGTGATTGTTGTACTTTACTGACACAAAAGTAATATTGTTGTAATTTTTGATCTTTGTTGATCAAAGAATAAAGCTTTTATCGTCCTTTTAATCCGGGGAAAAATATTATCTTGTAAAAACACCTCTTGTATTTATAACTTAGATCATTCTAGCCTGTGTTATATAATAGCTTTAAACATAATGTTTCTACTCTAGTGCTTTATCTACTAAAGACCACAATATTTTACGGATTATGAACAATGACAACATCTAAGTAAGACGTTAGGAAATAGTATTAAATATACCGTATCTGAAAATCTATTGATTAGACAAGAAACCGGCAATCTAATACACCTGAAAACCAACTGATTAGATAAGAAACCGTCAACCACACAGATCTTGGAACCTAGTGATTAGACAAGAAACCGTCAACTACACAGATCTTAAAACCTACTGATTAGACAAGAAACTGGCAAACTAACAGATTGGAAAACCTATTAGCTAGATAAGAAACTACCCAGATATCTGAAAATCTACTGAGTAGGCAAGAAACCGGCAAACTAACATATTTTAAAACCTACTGTTTTATCGATGTAACCAAGAAAATGAACGTCGCAGTAATGATTTTAATTAAAAAACAAATTATTTAGTTCATTCATGATTAATTAATCACCACTCTTTATAATATATACATGTCGTTCCCTTGTCCTCTTAAAAATAGAAACAACTAAAATTCCATATGTTGAAACTTACTTTGACTGAAAGGTATAGAGACGAAATGCACTTTAAATTAACTGAGCAAATCATAAAATTGTCGTTAAGATAATAACTTCCGTCCTATCAGTTTGACGTGGGTCATTCTGAGAATGAGCGATTGAAAGCAACTCAATCACCGGTGCTTTTATCATAAACCGTTACGTTACTGTTACTTTTCGTACGGATTTCTTGGCTTAACGTAGGAGTGGCTTGTACGGCCGTCCTTGGTCTCTTTCGTAAACAGCAATTAGAACAAACCCTCGTGGTTTTTCAGCTTCATGCACGTTATCGTTTATGACTATATCTCGTGTAATGATTCATGATGGTGGAAAAACACGTTGGTTCAAAAAGTCTTGATAGAAATGAATAAAAACCCTATAACCCGAGCGCCCTCCCCAGGTGGCCCCTTTTTCTTCCCGGGTAAAACGGGGAAGAAAGATTCTCCTTTT